ACGGAAGCACATTAGGGCCATATCATTATGTGTATGCATACAATTTGGAATAATATGGACAGTTTACAATCCTAGACACATTCCACATTAAGCCATGTTAGATCATGTTTTCACTGCTGTTTTATGTATGAGAACACAAGAAAGTACGTATTTGTCAGTCATTCAAATCTCGGGTTCAGCAAAAGTTTTCGTATCTATTTCAGTAAAAACCGTTAGGAGTTTTGCGATCAGGGTGTTAGTTGTCAATTTTAGGTGTTTAAAATGCACTTTAATGAATCCTTGGAGTCTGTAACCTTGAGAAACGTTGTAATGTTATTAATACAAAAATCAGTAAAAGGTAAAGCAAATATTTTGTGACCGGAACTAGCATGTTCGAGGTAAAGCTTACGTTTTGTGTACCATCAACAGAATGACAGTGATGACATTTTTTCAAAACATGACAAAATCCCTATCATCCACAACATGAGAGATATTGACCACGAATGTGTGTACCGAACTCTCGAACCTATTCTCCGATCACGACCGCCTCACCTTAAAAATACATATAGATTTGGACCTGTGAAGATCAGGGTTAGAACAGATCTTCAGCAACCAATGCTTGTATTAAAAGGTGATTGTGGTTGTCGTTAGAGGCGACTAACGGGATCGGGTTGGTTGTCAGGCTCGCTGACTTGGTTGATTGGATGCATGTCATCTTATCCCAATTGTGTGGATTGATGCTCGTGATGTCAGTCACTGGATTGTCAGGTCCAGACTTGATTTTTTGCATGACAAACAAAACATATAAATTTAACCGCTTATTTCAAATTCGAGATAAAAATACATAGCACCATCTCGAACTCCCAATCTGACTTTACAATAGAACTGTGTACCACGATATCGAAGTTTGAATTTGCCACCGTGGCAGCTTTAAGAAATCTTAATTAGAATTTTTCTTAACTGTAAACAATTCTCCTCGATACAGGTTGAGGAATCCGTAATGAAGTCAAAGAAAGTGATCATTTGCAACATTGTCAAACTTAGTTTCATCCACAGAAAGCACGGACCTTTTTTTGCAAAACTAAAATCCAACTCAATCCTTCACTTGTTTTTCTGTCACAATGTTTTTTTATTATAACCTGCGAAATACATTTCAATTAGTCATCGAGATACATTTCAATTAGCTACACCTTACACCTGTTGTATTCTGAATTGATCGTCTATGCAATCGTATTTCTATGGATCTATAATACACAGTCTGTTACTCAGTTTTATTTCGCTTATTGACTTTCTACATAGGTGAACAGGGACATTTATTTTACATGCAAACAACATGTTATTCAGGAAAATATAATTACATGATAGGGGTTTGTGAACACACAAATAATTATTTATTCAAACACCTCTTACTTTAAACAAACATATATATTAACACACACAAATGGTTTTTACAAACAATAGTTGATTTGATGCTTCCAAACAAACCACACGCAAGCTATTGTTGAATTTTAAAATAAAGCCAAGGTTAATGTATCCACAATCATATTAAATCATAAATATCGTTCTGTTCTATATAAATGTAACAAGTGAACTAACCATTTCAGTGGATCTCAACATGGACAAAACTGTTGGAGATGTTCAGTGAGCGAACGTTTATTTAATGAAGTAAAAACGTAGATTCTTTCTTTTGGTAAACACATGTAGCTGTACATCTTATAGATGTTCCAAGAGAAAATAATATAATTTCTACCTATATACCACTTTATAGAGTCTCAGATCGCGGTATGTAAAGAAAACTTGGTGCTCAAAGTGAAGCCCTTTTCCCTTTACATTGATGATACATCTGTGTGTTTAAAGTTGATTTTGACAGCCCGGGCCAAGTCGGACCCACCACAAGCCAAACACTTTTTATAGAGACTATGTTGAGAATGTAGAGGGGAAAGGGCTTCACTTTGAGCACCCTGTTTTCTTTAAATACGATGTACTGTGACATTATAAAGTGTTTTATAGGTAGATAAAATACTAAGCTACAGATGTAAACACATTTGATGATACATCTGTGTGTTTAAAGTTGATTTTGACAGCCCGGGCCAATTCGGACCCAACACAAGCCAAACACTTCTGATAAGTTTTCTTTAAATACCGCGATCTGAGACACTATAAAGTGGTATATAGGTAGATAAAATACAAATCGATAGATGTGAACCCATTTCATGTTAAATCTGTGAGGTTTAAGTTGATTGTGATAGCTCTGGCCAAGTCGGACCCAACACTTCTGACAGAGATTTTCTTAAGAAAATACAGTAAAAGTGTTTGACTTTATTCAGTTTTCTTTAAATGAGGTACACTATTGCATTATAAAGTGGTATATAGGTAGATATAACACTGATCTATAGATGTAAATACATTTGATGATACATCTGTGTTTTTAAAGTTGATTTTGACAGCCCGGGCCAAGTCGGACCGAGCACAAGCCAAACACTTCTGATAGAGACTATGTTGAGAATGTAGAGGGAAAAGGGCTTCACTTTGAGCATCTTGTTTTCTTTAAAAACCGCGATCTGAGACACTATAAAGAGATATTTAGGTAGATAAAATACTAATCTATAGGTGTGAATCCATTTCATGTTACATCTGTGAGGTTTAAGTTGATTTTGCCAGCTCGGGCCAAGTCGGACCGAACACTTGTGAGACTGTTGAGAGTATGGGGAGAAGAGGTCTACTTTAACCAACGTGTCTGCTTTATACAAGATGAACAGTGACATTATTAAGTGGTATTTACATAGATATAGTACTATCCTATTAATATAAACGCTATGCCGACAGATGGAAATTTGTATCGCGATAGCTAGAAGTATTTGATGCGTTTCAAATCTTATTTCGTTTAACGATTGCTATTTTACATGTTACCTAGATCAGCGACGCTTACACACAGCTCCACTTTCTGGTTGTCAAGCGATTTACTCGGAAATAGCTAATTATGTTGCACGTTTTTGGTTGGTGATTGTTCAGTAATGTCATGTGTGTATGTTGCATCAATAATATGTGGGTATGATCGCCGATAATGAAGTAATTAGCCAATAACACTTTGGCCCATCTTGGCCCGGCCCGGCCCGACTTTTAGGCAATGCCCAGCTGCCTCGGTAATTAAGGGCTGGAATGTTTTTGTGAAGGCAGTTAGAGCAGACGAATTCCCCCCCTCGCTGTATAATGACGGTCGCTAAACATATATATGTATTTTTCGTGTTTTTGGCTTGATTTGATTGTCCTTTGGTGAAAACAAATGTTCATTTGTGAAAGCAAACCCTTTTCCCCTGAACGTTAAAAGACAGGAGACAAATTGGAATGGACGCTCCTTGGTCTTGTGAGGGTATACGCAAAGGCCACACCACGTAACATATCAAACTGCGTAAGGCAAATACAATACAATTTTCAATTACAAGACAAGAAGAAAAAAGGAATGCATCGTCAAGAATTAATATATAAAACGAGGATTTACTGGCGTTAACATGAAGTTCTGAACATTTGTATACTGTAACCGATTCAATTTAGTCAGGATTGATAGATTTCAACTTCATTTTCTTCTTTCCCATGCGTAGTTCCGATATCGAGACCAGTACCTTTGTCACTGGAATTGAACTTCTTTTTTTATCTTTCCAGTGTGACGTACTGGTATTGTACCGAAACGATTGTAACCTCTGGGCTCAATTTACTCGGGATCTTACGATGATCAAAAGGAATGCCGCCCCCCACGTGTTGAATCTACCAATTGGTAGATCGCCTCCGTGGCCTAGTGGACCGAGTCTGCACGTAGAGCAGTGGATCGATTCCGTGGCAGCGTCATAACAAAAGATGTTTAAGAAATGGTACCTGTGGTTAACATTGCCTGGCGCTCGTCATTAAGGGGATATAACAAGTACTGCTTGTATAATGTGTTTGCGTGGGGTATCTATATTAAACTGCGGCTTGTTATCTCAACGGGCTAGCACTTTAAAACTGGCATAAGTCCGGACTAGTACAAGCACACGCACACAGTTATGAATGCAATACTTTTTCCCTTCGACGTTAAACCCTATTTCACCTCGCCTCATCATGTACCGAAACGTCGCTTTGGATGTAATGAAAAAGGATTTATATCCCTAAGTGAGGATTTCTCCTTCTTATGTTTTACAGGTATGGCTGTTAGTTGCTTTACCCCTTACATGGTATTAACTATTAAAGTATGATAGACTTTTTTGTTTTAATTATATATTTTCATAATCAGTGAACGATTGACTTGCCTTTGCGTGTATTTTCGACGGATGCCACCGGTGGGTCATGTTTCGCTCACCTTTTCGCGAACACCTGGTATCAATCACTATTTGATACTGATTCATAAACACATGATCTTGATAACCTCGGAATAGTACAAACAGAGATTTATTATGATTATTGAAATGTTTTCTGTCGCTTTTTTTCATGTAACATTTGGTCATATCATTGATCAGTTCCACTGGCTGATGTCTTTACACAGACGAGTTGTTTCAAGATATAACAATGGTCAAGATACGTTTTATAACAATGCCCGAGCTACTTTATATTAAAAAGTGATGTAGCTACGCTATATAACAATGATGTACCGACAATATATAAGAATGGTAGAGCTACATTATATAACAATGGTAACCTACACTCTATATATCTGGGATATTTAATATTTTGGAGAAGCCTCGGGTTCTGTGGTGCTTACACGAAAGGGGTCATAATCAGGACTTAATCTGGGCTTCAAACATACGATCGCTGGATCCTGGCACGACTCTGAAAAGCGAATTGGCGCCTTAGAGCCCTGGGCCATTCCTGCATCCATATATAACAATGATAAAGCTACATGCCCTGGCACTAATAATGTGATAATGCGCAATGATGACAATTGACAGCATGTTCACTGCGTGTATTCTCAAAGATATGATTTTCCTCATTGTTTAATATTTTTTACTAACAATAAGTTACGGCAGTTACGGGGTCTGTTAAAAAATACTCACAGATTCGTTGTCTGAGGTGGAAGATCTGTAAACATGGTTTCTATTGCCTCAGAACTCACTTTCAGCCCACTACAGTTGGCTACCCTCTCAAATGTTCCTGTTTTGCAGTTGCAAGGTATGGGACACTTGACACAAGAACTCCATTGAAACAGACAAATGTGCCAAACACTCCACACTTTAATAATCCAGTATATCTTGTTCACCATGCTGTCACACGCTTTGGGTTAGTACTGCCAGGAGGATAGCACTCAAGCAGCTGATCCCAAGAAGATGTGTTTACAAATGAGCTGAGGGCAGAGCACTGCTTCACTCAGGAGTAAGTATCGATCTTCGGTAGAGACGAGTACTCGATTTGATAGGAAGACAGTATGGGGGGCTATTACTGACGGGATATGTTCCCAATCTTGCCTGTTTTAGGAGGATAGCAGGCGACCGTAATGAACTATTTTAGAACTCTGTCCTGGCATCCAGATGGCATGGTTGTGGGATGTGGCAGGGTGAGGTGCCAATTATGGCCGGTTTGCAGATGTAACGAAGTGATAGCCAGGACAACAGGATCCAAACATTGGGAATGTCTCAAATTGACAACTATCCTACACGTGAACACATATTTTCATTTTCTATTGATCTGGAAGGCTAATCTTCACCGTGACAGCTACACTATATCGATGTTCGTACTCCGTGCTGTCAACAGATTCTTTTTCCTGATACTTAATACAATTTTGACAAATGCTCAAGACAACTGGTAATAAATATACAGTCAGATTTATCCACAAAGAGGATCGAAACAAATGGGGCCCAGTCGTCAAAGGCATTCACTGTGTGAACATATAAAGCAGCAGCTGTCTAACACTGGTCCAGCTCGTCAAGACTGTCATTTTCAGGCGTATCGTACATATGTGATAGAAATCTAGGATCCCTATTTTGTGAGCTCTGTGTCCGTGTTCGTGAGTATCAACAGAGTTGAAACTGTTGAAAACCCGCATGTTTGCCCGTGCTCCCTTATATATCTACCACTAATGTTCCAAGCACCAAACACACACTTACACTGGACCGCCTCCGTGGTCTAGTGGATCCGGATAGAACGTTTGCCAAGAGAACGGAGGGTTGGTGGTTCGACCCGCCGCTCCATATCAAAAGACGTTAAAAGATGGTACTTGTTGTTACTCTGTCTGGCGCTCTACATTAAGGGGCCAAAACAAAGACTGATTAGCTCGTATACTGGGTCTGTACAAACTCTACAATATAAGTGCAATGGTCTTGGACGCGACGTTACACCCCATGTCGCCTCTTCTAACCCATTTACATTAGATTTATATAAAACGTCAACGGCAGAGGACAACCAGTCTCATTGGGCGTAAAAGGAATAGTAGCTGTGAACATTATATAAAATTAATGCATCACTAAATATCACTGAAAAACAAATAAATACATTTTCGAGTGAACGTGCGTTAAATGGATCATGTTTTCATCCACATCACACCGATCACAGTATTTATCAATGAAACCAAGCTGACACTGTCCAGATACATTTGTCGGAAGAGGAATAATCAGGTTGCATGAAGAAATGTCATTCAGTCTGCAACCTGCTTGATCTTAAATTGCAGGTAGTACTTGATGGGAGCATTCAAGACTTGCTGTTACAACAGTCATTAAAATTCCGGGGGACATATATGCATTGGCTTCCAATGGTTTTATGCTCATCTCAAGTGCCAATTAAAATGGAGATTATATGGCGATTATGTGAGTGAGTTGTATTTTATGCCATTTTCAAAACTATATCAGTTATATCACGGCATGTGAGCTTGATGTGTGTTTCTCTGTTGAAAGCAAATGGTATGGTGCTGACAGACTAAGGCCATGGGAGTAATTTACATAAAATAAAAATGAAAATGAATCAGGGAATTGTTTTGTGCTTTTCATGAGTATTAAATTAAGTTAAAACATTTATATCCAGTACAATTTTCAATTCATTTTCACAGTTATGTCAGTAATATTAATTTGAATTTTGTTTCATTTCGTTAGTGAAATCGGATCGGTCGGGAGATGAGACACGACGCAATGAAAACGATGCCCTAAATAATGCTTCACCTGAAATTGATAACCTTTTGCTATGTTTTATTCACAGACATTTGGTTATATGACTCTTCACACAAAGAATTGTAACTCATTAAGGTCAACCTGGCATATCAGATTTACTCTGAAAGAAGAATCATATCTGAGTTTTTGTAGGATCTGCTAAAAGTCACTGTGAGATACTTTGGGTACATACAACAGTGATTCGAATTTCAGCAACAGAAACATCAGCAACAATAGTACCCAAACAGTACCCAAAGAGTACCCAAATATGTAGCACACTTAAATTTCGTAACTTCTCAGTGAATGCACGGGCGTTATACAAGTTTAGTATAAAACGTCGACGCCAGAAAATAACCGGTCTCCATTATCCACTCGTCACGCCGCAGACCCGGGCTCGATTCCCGACATGGGTACAATGTGTGAAGCCCATTTCTGATGTCCCCCGCCGTGATATTGCTGGAATATTGCTAAAAGCGGCGTTAAACCATACTCACTCACTCACTCACTCACTCACTCCAGTATCCACTGAAACAGATTTCAAGATCCATTGGACACAAAAGGCAAAATAGTGGTGAAAATTATATGAATGAAGCACTGAAAATCAGTGATGACACCAAGTGTTCGCAGATAGGTGTTTATTGTCTGACGCCGCTCAGCAGTACTCCTGCCATGCGACGGCGGTCTGCAAAGAGACCAGATAATCCATTGAAGGACCAGAACATCCACACGATAATCCATTTCCTGATTTAGTTGAAACCAAAAACGATGAAGAATATGAAGAAGGATATTTTTAATTATGTTGTCACACATTGTAAATCGATAAGTAACAGTTATTTTTTTCTGTAAAATATACAATGTCCGGCCAAATGGCATATGAGACACTCAAAACACCACATACATACAAATAAACAGTAAAGGTAAGGTAATCGCAGCACAGTTTGAGAGATTAAATATACACAATAACAGACCTGTACCTTACTACAGGCTCACAAATGGAAGACGCTTAGTTGCTGTGAAATATGTGTAACCCATGACGTAGTAACATTTATGTACAAGGTGAGGTGAGGTGAAATGGGGTTTAACGTCGCGTCCAAGATTATTGCACTTATTTTGCGACGTGCATGTACGTGTATGCGTGTGTGTGTGGCTGCTTGTACTGGTCCGGACTGATGCCGATTTATAGTGCTAGCCCACTGAGATACCATGCCGCAGTTTAACATGAATACCCCACTCAGACACAGTATAATAATAATACTAATAATAATACTAATAATAATAACTACAGATTTATATAGCGTTGGTATCCAGTTCGAAGAACTGCTCAAAAGCGCTTCATTTGAGTCTACACAAAAAAGAGACATTCCACAGCTATACTGACTCCGAGCCGACCAGTCCTTGTTTTAGCCCCTTAATGCCGAGCGCCAGACAGGGTAACAACAAGTACCATCTTTTAACGTCTTTTGGTATGACGCGGTCGGTCTTCGGGCGGACGCTCTACCATCAGACCACGGAGGCAGTCATATATGTACAAAGGTTGATGAAGGAAGAACATCCTAACATTACAAAACAAACTAAACTTCAAGAAACGGGGGACATACAAGCCTTAGCTGGAACATTTGACAACGTGGTGTGGCTAGGGTTCATACAAACCTACTTGTTTACAAATGCATTCTTTGAGCGGAGTTCTGGGGACGGCTAAATCTAAATAAGTCTATTTGTAATGGCGGAGGGCTGCAGCGAAACTTAATTAAAACATGATGCCGACATCTGTTCATCATTAAAGTAACATATGGTTATACATATTGTGAGGTGTCGATTCCCAAATTGAAACAATATGTTAACCCAGAAATATGGACATAAAATATTTTGTGTGAAACCAACAAACAACCAACAAATAGTATACAATTGTGTGTTACACAATTAACTAGGTTAACAAATCAATAGAAATTACTTCACAGCAATTACTTTGGCAGTACACAATAGAGTGGTAGTACAATATTCAATGGCAGTATCAATACGAAATATGATGGTACTGGAGATATCGAAACGTTCAGTGATAATAATATTCACCTTTCCGAACAGTGGTCAAGTTTCTGGGATAGGCCTAGGCTGGACATCCGGGGTTATAAGTGATCTTCACACGAAAGCTGGCCTTGATGTCATGTCAGATGAAACATGAGATGAAATGTGAGAGGGGAAAGGCACGTGCCCGGTCCACGTATATAGTCTAACTAGCTTCCAGCACTGAGTGCCAGAGTGCCAGACCAGTTCAGTGTCACCTGAACATCACAGAATAGTCCTCATGTTTCTATAACGCTTGGCATCCTACCATTCTACGCTTGGCATCCTTCCATGCTATTACGGTAGTAAACAGGTAATTCGAACATCTAAATATATAAACTTCCTCCCCAATGCTTACATTAACTAGTACTTCATTTCTGACAACGAATCATTGTCAAAATACAATGCAATGAACTTCATTTGAATCTCAACAGAGACAATGAAATACATTTCAATAATTGTTTAACAATAAATTACGCTGCCATACAACAAGATAAAGAATCTTTATTGCCATTTACCATTGCCATCAGTCCAAAGCCAATGTAACAATTCAGAATGGTCTAAAGATATCAAACAAGTTTTAGACAAGTTTAACTCCTTACTAGAATTAATTTTCAAATAGCAGACTGGTCAATGAAGACGAATAAAATAATAGAAAGCAATATTATTCCAGGATCTACGGTATTTTACAGATCATCTGCAAAAAGTACTTAGCATTTTTGATTGATCAGCAGCATGTAATCTGCGCCAGAAGTGTAAAAGTCCACGTCTCTGTTTAGTTCATGGTGATGTCCAGTCAATTTCAGCGCTGATAAGCCGAATATCTTTCCAGCGACATCTAAAAACAAACTACACGGCCGGTTCTTGAAAGCGCATACAGTTAAATTCCACTAGTACCCCAAATTGTCGTTAAAAACATCCCTCAAGACATACCAGGTTGACGATTAACGATATGAACGTCGGAGTATTGGACTTATATCACGATGTGTCAGCGTAATTCTTGGGGAAAGCACGAAGAGATGCAGCTCTCAGACGTTTACCAGTTTGGGGAAACTTACAAGCATGGGTATGACACTGTCCAATCTGCTGGGTGAATCTAGAATTCGAACCCACCGATCAACGGATCTTGCCACATTTTTGAATAGGTCC